TCCTGAGTTTGATCCCCAGTAACAAAAAATAAAGATTGTAGGTCTGGTTGTTTATGTTAATACAGAAGTGGTGTTAAATTTGTATTTTTTTTTCAGATTTTGAAATTGGAAGTAGCATTAAGGAGGATCCAACACAGGTAATATATAAGGACACAGAACCACATAGAGCATTAATAGAAAAATCCAAAAGAGTTGTTTCCCAGAATACTGATTCCAGCAGATATCACAAAAGGGAATGCATCTCAGGAAGACAGTGGGAAAACCTTCAAAGCATTAGACAGGGGAAGCTGATGGCCCAGCCTAGAGATCTAGGAAACGCTGTGATGCATCAGAAGCCCTTCATGGGGAGGAAACCCTACAGACTTCTCAAATATGGAGAGAGCTTTGGAAGGAGTGCTCGTCTTATGTGCCGGATGACCCATCAGAAGGAGAACCCTTATAAGTGTAGTGTCTGCGGGAAGTGCTTTGGTAGAAGCAGGAGCCTAATCAGACACCAAAGAATCCACACAGGGGAAAAGCCTTTCAAATGTCTTGACTGTGGGAAAAGCTTTAATGATTCCTCCAATTTTGGAGCCCACCAGAGAATCCACACAGGAGAGAAGCCCTACAGATGTGGGGAGTGTGGAAAATGCTTCAGTCAAAGCTCTAGTCTTATTATCCATCAGAGAACCCATACTGGCGAGAAGCCGTATCAGTGTGGAGAGTGCGGGAAAAGCTTTACCAACAGTTCTCATTTCAGTGCTCACCGCAGAGTCCACACTGGAGAGAATCCCTACAAATGTATGGACTGTGAGAAAAGTTTCAATAACTGCACAAGATTTCGAGAACACCGGAGGATCCACACTGGAGAGAAGCCCTATGGATGTGCCCATTGTGGGAAACGTTTCAGTAAGAGTTCTGTTCTCACCAAACACAGGGAAATTCATGTTAGAGAAAAACTTCTGCCACACCCTCTCTCTATGTATCCCCCAGAGAACCCACTGAAGGGGAAAGCCGATGACTTCAGGAAAACATTTTGATGATGAGCCCCTTTAGCCATCTTAGCCCAACCTCACTCACAGAAGCAGTCTTTTCTTAATCCAAAAGTTATTCTGTTCTCACCTCTGCCTCTAACTTGGTCCCCTTCCTCCCCCACATCTCTCTCTCTCTCTCTCTCTCTCTGTCTCTCTCTCGTTTCTCTCCATCTCTATTAGAGTGGGGAAGATGCATTGTCTGAGTTCAGAATGAACTTCTTTTCAGTATGTTGAGGTCACTGCTATTGGATTCCTAAATTCAGGAACATTTGAGATCCTTTTGTGTGGGTGAGAAGTGTTTTCAAGGAGATAAATACCAAAAGGATTTTTTTGTTTTTGTTGTTCTGGGTGCAGCTTGATAACAGATTTTCACATTTGGGTAGAACTTTCAGGAATCTGATCACAGCATATCAGATTGACCTCAGATTTTGAAGATACTCACAAAAGTAGAGTGAAATTTTATAGCCTCCTTAAGAAACCTGATACAATGTCCTTTTTTGTCAAGAAGTTGATCCAAATAGGGTAGATTCTCTGTTGTCACTGAAGTCATGTTACTAATGCCTCACCCTTATCATCACCTTCTGTACTTAAAGACTTGCAGCCCTGTGGCCACTGCTTCTCCAGCCCCCAAATAATCCCAGAGTGTTCCTCTTGCTGTGTCTCATAAAGCCTACATTTACCTCTTAATTTCGTGTGCTCTCATCTGGCTCTTCTGAACTACCATACTATCTGCATATCAAATAGGATGCGTGATTATGGTGTGTCTCATTAAAATAAAGTAGGATTTCAGACACATTCTACCCTCTAACTTCTCTGGCTCTAAATTTAAAATATTAGTGGCACATTGGCGTATTTTATACCTCCCAGCCCACATTTCAGTATAATACTATATAATAGGATTTCTGAAATTGTAAGGGAATAAGGGAAAAGTGAGATACAGACCTGAAAGGTTTAGTGGACTCAGGCCTGATTTATATCAGAGTCACCTCAGTCCAAACCAACACTTTTCAGGGCAAGCTGTTGGATATACCAGTCTATCTGAGGCTTCATTTCCTTTTTTCATAGGGTCATAAACCTAACTGTACAGCCCTGATTAATTATACAACTCTACAGCTCACTAAGTGAAAGTGGAAATATTTATAGAAACTTCCCATCCAGAATACCATTTTTGTTTGTTCCCCATATATGTTTGTCTGCAAATCTCTTTGATAACCTCCCAGCACCATCACAGTAAATATGAGTAGAATGGTTTAGATGGCGGGGGGATAGTTAATTCATGTATGTTACAGGTGAAACCCAGGGATGTGATCTTTCAAAGCCAGGCTTCAAGATGAAGCGAGTGGCATTTATACCCTCAATACACAGCTAACCTAGGGTGGCTTTGCTTTGGGGAGGGAAAAGTCACAAGTTTAGAGGAAAAGTAATCAGAGTCAGGACTATATGTAGATTATTCTTCTGTTTGTAACTGTCCCTTCCTTTGTCAAATGCTGTCTTATTTGAAGACACCTAGGGATAGTATTTTCCTTCAAGTATGTCTGAATCTTTTGAAAGCTGTTGAGCAGTATACCAAGGAAGGTAGGCACTATTGAAAGAAATCCAGTTTATGGTGCCAGAATAAGGTGTGGCCTGTTGGAAGGCAGGTGACTCAGGTAAACATTGATGAATGTTTCTGATTTACATTTATTGGAAATGTTCTGATTGTTCACATCAACATACTTGATTTCCTCTGTGTTGTCTGAACTATAGACTTCTAATGGTACGTGCAGTTTCATGTTGGTGATTGTGCCTAGCACAGTAAGATGTGTTTGATGCCAGTGGGCTTGTGCTTATATTGTGTAGATGTTCTGGAATTCCAATTCTAGAGAAGATACACACTAATATAAATCACCACTTAGTAATATGTACACAGGATTGATAATTACATGGAAGCATGATTCAGGAAAGTAGATGATATATTCGTAAATATTTAATAAGCACTGTTACATGTAAGATCATCTAGCTGTAGTGGGGTATATGAAAAATTTTTAAAGGAGCATGATGCCTATATCTAAGGACATTACAGCGTGATCAAGGACATGTTGAGGCAAAAAGTAATGCCCATTACATTCATGTTGGTTGCACAAAGTCAATCAAAAAGAAATCACCTTGAGCCAGGGATTTAGCTCAGTGGTTCCACTGCTTGTCTCACAAGCATAAGGTCCCAAGTGAGATCCCAGTACCAAAAATCAAAACAAAATCACCTTCACTTCCTGGACAGTTTCTCTAAATTACAAATATGAAATCATATTTGGTACCACTGTTTCTCACACTTCCCCAATGAGAAGAAAGATTGAAGGCCATCTCCCTTCTCAGTGGAACAGTCTCTCATATGTCTGGGATCAAGCTAAGGTTAGGTTCCCCTACTTGAATTCCTGATTGTAAATAGGCTGTTGGGCATGCTTTAATGAATCTGTCTCTATTTTAACTAAATAGAAGATTTTACCATTTTAGACCAAGGTTACTGTCTCCCTGCATTTTCTCTCTTTTCAAGCTGAAACATGAAAGTTAAAATGAATAATCACAGCCAGGGATTTAGCTCAGTGGCACTGCACCTGCCTGGTGAGCACAAATTCCCAAGCTCAATTCCCGGTACCGAAAAACAAACAAAAAAGACTGTTCAGACTGGATTCCTACATGCAATCCTCCAGTCTCAGCCTCCCAAGTAGCCAGGCCTATGGACACATAATCACTGTACCTAGCAAAAACACGTTTTGGGCTGGGAATTTACTCAGTGGTGCCACCACTGGCCTCACAAGTGCAGGATCCCAAGTTCAATCCCTGGTACCAAAAAAAAAAGAATAATCACAGTTCTAAGTAGCTTATCTTTTATATCATAGCATTGCCTCTATGAAGATCCATAGGAAAATCTTATTTTTTTCTAGATCTCAGTACTAGAGACTGCTTTGATTCTCAGAAAAAAAAAATTTTACAAACACTGTGATTTTGTAACTTACTACTTTTTCCTCTTTGTTCTGGTTGCTAGAAAGCCCAATAAAAGTCCACCTCAATCAACTACCTAAACCTGAATTTATTTAATTCTGCCCTGCTTTTTGGAGATTGCTTCAAATCTTGTTTTTTTTTTTTTAATGTTATAAACATTTTATTCTCTGACATCTAAGGCATTTTAGGAACTGGGTTCATTTTTCCTACCTACTGTTCATTTACACAAATACCTCTAATTATTATTGATTATTTTATTAAACATTTAGCCTAATAAACCTGGAAGGAAAGTTTAGGGTTTTTTTAAAAAAAAGAATAACCACAGATATACATAAACAGCTTAGGGCAGCCTGTCATTGTGAAATGAGCATTAGACCAAAAGCCAAAAAAGCATTAGTCTTGTGAATACGACTTAGTAAGTGTTGTTTGACAAATCACGGCCTCTTTTGAGAAGCTGAACTTGACTGCCAAGATTGCTCAGGTGCTCAAATTCAGGAGGCTGTGGAGTCAGGTGGAGGTCACAGAAAAGTTGTGAGTACAGGCTCCAGCCTGGCTCCCCACTTCATGTAACCTTTGGGCTGTACTCAGTCTGCTTTATGTGCAGGAAAGGAGCAGTGTTGACAGCAAAGCCAGCTGAGGAGTTGCTCGCCAAGGAGAAAGGACATGTCACTTGTGTTGAATAGCAGGCAGCTACTTACCCTGATAGGCAAAAGCAAGTAGCTGAAGTGAAGAAAATATTTTGTGAAATCCAGTGCCCAGTGGCAGACCAGAGTCCGTGATGAGAGAGCTGAGGAGCCCCAGTGAAAGGAGTACTGAGCAACCTGTGTAACTCTGAGCCCTTGCCCTGTCTGGAGGCATTCTGAGACCAAGTATAAATGGATGTCTGTCATTGTTTTGTGTTGTCACTTAGATGTCTTCTTGAAAACTTGTATGTGAAATAAATGTCTACAATAAATGGCTCCCCTTGGTTTCTGCCATAACTTTAAGGCTGTCTTTCTATTAAAAGAAAAACTTTTAAGAAGGTAAAAGCTGATTGTGTTAGCTAATCAGAAAATTTCAGTTTCATTCCTGTTCACAGCTGCACTCCATAATTAGCAGACAGGAGTTCTTTGTTCCTGCAGAGCAGTCCTCAGATAGCTGTCCCTACCTTTGTCCCAATTAATGGTTGGCTGTCATGCTAGAGTAGTGTTGGCATTAGATAACACATACTGAATGTGTTTCTAATGAGGCACTCACCCCCAGTCCAGAGGTAGAAGAAATCATGAAAGTTTCCCGAGAAAATGTTAGGGGAGGTGAACTTTACCTATACTTGGGTTCTTTGGCTGGACTTGAGAATAAAATCAAGAAACAGATGAGCAAGAGAAGAGTATGTAAATGTCTGTATGTATACAGATGACTGCACAAGAAATAAAGACCCAAAGAAGTAGCAAAAGCAAAATGCCTCTATGATATATTGAACAGAGAGGCAGTTGTGGAAAAAATAAGTATATGGGAAGACCAAAAAAAGGTAGGAGTTATTTTAATGGTCTATACTCTCTCGGGCTCACTCTCCATCTCTAGTGATAGGAATGTTTTTTCTTCCTGGTTTAGGGAGAGCATCTTTCACATGAGTTTCATCTGCTTCCAGAAAGAAGAGTTGAAGTACCCTTCTTGCACCTGCTGTTTTTCAAGTACCTTTAGCTCAAAATATCTTTATGCCAAAAAGAAGCATTACTTTGGGGTAGCCTATTCTGTCATCCTTCACAGTGATTCTTGTGACTCACAATTTTGATACAGGGGAAATACCAGTGGCTTCCACAGAGCCCTTCCTTATTTAGCTCAGTGGTTCCGGCGCACAAGGGCCTGAGTTAAAAAAAAAAAAAAAAAAAAAAAAAAAACATGTTTATGTAAATGCAAAGAAATTAAAGTTATTCCCTGTATATTATCAGATCATAGGGAGATGAAGTTGGAATTATATAGCAGAAGAAGCCACAAGAATTTAATAAACATAAAAAGACTTCTGAATAGCCAGTGGGTCACAGAGGAAATTGAAGAAATCAGGGCTGGATTAGCTCAGTGGTTCTGCTGCCTGCCTCACAAGTGCAAGGTCCTGAGTTCAATCCCCAGTATCAAAAAAAATTTTCTAAATTTAAAAAAGGAAAAAAACAGACAGTTTCTACAATTAAATAATAATGCCAATACAACATATCAGAGTTTATGGGACACAATGAAAGCAGGTGCTCAGTGGTTCTGCTGCCTGCCTCACAAGTGCAAGGTCCTGAGTTCAATCCCCAGTACCAAAAAAAAAATTTCTAAATTTAAAAAAGGAAAAAAACAGACAGTTTCTACAATTAAATAACAATGCCAATACAACATATCAGAGTTTATGGGACACAATGAAAGCAGTCTTCTGAGGGGAAGTCATAGCAGTAAATACTCATACTAGGAAAATAGAGCAAGCTGAACCTAATGCTGAACCTCAAGCTTCTAGAAAAAGAAGAGCAGGACAAACCCAAAGCTCATACAAGGGAGAAACTAAAGATCATAAATCAATGCAATGGAGACTAAGAGAAGCATACCAAAAAAATCAATGAAGCAAAGAGTTGGTTCTTCAAAAGAATAAAAAAAAATTAACAATCATCAAAAAAAGGAAAAAGGCCCAGATCCATGCAATTAGAAATGAAAAGGGTGAAATTACAACAAACCCAGCAGAGATTCATCGGTACCTATTTTGAGAACCTATACGCCAAAAAGATGGAAAACAGAAGAATTGACAGATTTCTGGATAAATATGAATTACCAATGTTGAACAAAGATTACCTAAAAATTCTAAACAACCCAATATCAGTCAACAAAACTGAAAACATAATTTAAAATTTAACTAATGAAGAAAAGCCCAGGGCTTGATGGCTTTACTGCTGAATTCTACAAGACATTTAGAGAAGAACTATTGCCACTACTGTTTAAACTCTCCAATGAAATTGAAAGGGAAGCAATACTCCCAAATTCATTCCTAGAAGCAAGCATCACCTTGATCCCAAAAGCAGAGAAAGACCAAAAAAGAAAACTATAAGTCTCCATGAACATAGACACAAAAATCCTCAATAAGATACTGGCAAACATAATGCAGAAGATCATATTCCCTGACCAAGTAGAATTCATCCCAGGGATGCAAGGGTGGTTCAACATATGCAATTAATGTAATACACTATATTAATAGAGCTGAGGACAAAAATCACATGATCATCTCAATAGATGCAGAAAAAGTGTTTGACAAAATCCAATACCCATTCATGATAAAAATCCTACAGAAAACTGGAATGGGCAGTCTCTGTCTCAACCTAATAAAAGCTATCTATGAAAAACCAACAGCCAACATCATACTAAATTATCAAAAATTGAAATCCTTCACGCTAAAATCAGGAACAAGACAAGGATGTCCACTGTTACCATTCCAGTTCCATATAGTTTTGGAAACATTAGCCATAGCAATTATACAGAGAGAAATAAAAGAAACAAAGATAGGAAATAAAGAAGTGGAATTGTTTTTTGCAGATTACAATACTTTATATGGAAGACCCCAAGAACTCTACCAAACGTCTTCTATACTTAATAACCACATTCTGTAGAGTAGCTGGATATAAGGTCAATACAAAAAAAATGAATAGCCTTCCTGTACATGAACAACAGAGTCACTGAGAGAGGAACTGGAGAAACAACTCCTTTCACAATAGCATCCCAAAAAATGAAATACCTGGATATCAACCTAATGAAAGAAATTGAAGACCTCTACTCTGAAAGCTTCAGCACTCTGAAAAAGAGATAGCAAAGGGGATATCAGAAAATGGAAAGACCTCCCTTGCTCCTGAGTAGGAAGAATCAACATAGTGAAAATGGCCATACTTCCAAAACTGCTATATAGATTCAATGTGATCCCGATTGAAATTCCCGCCGCATACTTCGCAGAACTTGAGAAAATGATCCAGAAATTCATTTTGAACAAGAAGAGATCTAATAGAATAGCAAAAGCAGTTTTGGGCAACAAAGACAAGGTAAGGGGTGTCACAATCCGCAACTTGAAACTACTGCAAAGCTACTGTGATTTTAAAAAAGAAAAAAAAAAGCATAGTACAGGCAAAGAAACAGACCTGAAGATCAATGGAACAGATTAGAAGATGCAGAAACAACTCCAGATAAACTCGGCCACCTCATCTTCAACAAAGAAGCCAAACACCCTC